ATCAACCATGGTTCCAAATGACTGACAAAGAATAACATCATCTACCTCATGACAGAGAAATGATGAACTAATATACAGAATGAGAAATCCATTTTTGGATGTGACTGCTGTGGAAGTATGTTAACATAATAGGTTTATTTAATATGGTTAATATGTTGCTTGATTATGCCTAAGTAACACAGAAGTTTTCCCTCTCTTCCCCTCTCTCTCTTTCTGAAAGGGAAACGAATGTTTGATATTAAAGTGCTATTATTTTTAGAAAAGGAAATAAGAATGGGCATGATTTCTCTAGAGAGCTTTTCCTCCATGAGACCTCTAGCTTGAACTGATCTGACAGAGTACAACTTTGTTAAGGGCAGAGTAGAAGGCCATTTCCTTACTGTGAATAGGCATGAAGAAACTCAATATGCAACTAGAGCCAGCAAAGGTAACAAGTAAGTCTTCATGAGGAGAAAATAAATATTATATTCATTTTGCTAAAGATGTTATAAGCCAGCCCCCTCCCTAGAAACTAGAATCCCATTAGAGCCTCTTTGTGGTCAAGGTATGAACTGTAGTTGACTAGGAAATATACAGATGTAAATACAAAGATGAAATAATTCTAAAGATGAAAACATTCTAAACTGACCTAATACTTTATGCTTTGCAAAAGTGCTTTTATCAGTCAGTGAGACAAGTAGTGCAAATATTCTATTTCCATTTTATAGATTAGTAACATATGTTTAGTGAAGAAAAGAACTTTTCCCAGTGGCAAGCACAAGTGAGAACATGAATACACGTACATGTGGAAAGTCAACCAGATAATTTGACTTAGTCTACTACTCATCTAACTCTCTTAATTTTTCCTATAATCATAATCACTCTTGCCCCATAATAAGGGCAGCCTTAATCAATATTAGCCCAGAGGCTGGGACTGTCCCTGCTTTTATAAGTTGCATATAGAGGCAGCCTTAGCATGAGAGAGACAGAGAGATAGGTGCCTTCTGTCTGGTGGTTTGCAGCCGCTTCTGCCTTTCTTGTCTCCTAGTTCAACTGCTTTGCCTCTCTAAAAGTAACTGACATTCAGGGTTTCTAATGAATTAAAATGTTATTTTGCCACTGTGCTCTCCTTTCATATTTAAAAACACACTGTGCGGAAACAGAAACTGATACACAGATGATGGCAGACCAAATCTAAAATTCTCTATCACTGAAGAATTGCTGTAACATTTTTTTTCAGCCAAAGACAAGGTTAATTATTAGAACATCCATCATATTGGCCAGACTTTTAAGGAGTCTGAACATTAGTGAGCTATTGGCTAGATTTTTAAGGATCTGAGCACCTTAATGGAGATAAGATGGACCTTATATACAGAGAGACTGTGGGAGGGATCTAGGAGCGGCCAAGTAGTTTGGGGTGATTGGAGGAGGGGTCTAAGGAAGATCTGGATGGGAGTGGCCAGTAAGCTTGGGTGAACAGAATGCCTGGGACCTGGACCTCATGGCCAAAGGAAAATGGAGCCTAGCTAGGATTAAGGGTGGGAAATGGCCGGGGGGCCATAGGGCTAGGTTAGGTTAAGGGTAACACAATTGGGAGATTGGGTGTAGCCACAATGAAAGGCCAGTTGACTGGATTATAGACTCAGGCAAATGTCAGAGATTTGGCCATGTGGGAAAGTCCAGGGTTTTTCCTTTTTGGGGTCCAGATACTAACCTCATCATTCCCGCTCAAACAAATTCTTTTGGGGCAAGGGGCAGAAGTCTTGGCTTGTGAAACTGCTTCCTGCTGTCAAGGGGCATAGAGGTATCCCTGCCTCAGGGCGGGTCCCAAAGAGAAGGTTGACTGGAACCGAGCACAGTCTGCATCCAGGGAATGATGGGGTGACATTGGCTGGTACACACCGTTTGCTAGCAATTGTAGGTGAATGGCCTGTAGTCTGGAAGACAAAAATCTGACCGAAAAAGACTGCAGGATAAAACATCCTTAGCTCTGTTTGGATTCAGATAATTCAGTTTTCCAACCATGTAGTATCAAATCCACTCCACAGCCAGACTCAGGAATAGCCAGGTGGATAACATTCCTTTTCAAAGGAACATAATGGGTAAACTGAGCCAGGAGGATCCCATCTTACACTGAGGCTAAAATTGTCCTTTCAGCTCTTCCCAATGCTGAGTTCCAAATCATGGGTGCATGGATGCCTGTGTTTGGGTACTTGTGCTTGGACCCCAATTTCTCCCTAGCTTCAGTAACCCTGTCTCTGGCACTTTCTCCCCATCCCAAGGACACTGTGCCTAGCAATTACTCATGAGTGAGCCTCAATAAGACCTTTATCTCTTTCCCTGGTGCACTTACAAACAGCACCTGAAGGAATTATTATTTTGAACTGGCTTTGCACTGGTCATAAAGATAATTCTTACCCACTGGACTATTTATACTACCGCCCTACCTCATCATCTACATCCTGGACTCCTCATTATCTGTATTTTAGACCTAAGATATATGTATGCTCCCTATATCTATCTTGTCAAACAAGACATTGAATGGTGGCAGACTGGACAACTTTCAGTTACCCCTGACCTCTAGTTAACTTAGTGATGTAGCAGGCCTAAAACCGCACCTTCATGTGGCCCCGCTTGTGGGCTTTTCCTAGTGAACTCAGGGTAAAAAACCTGCGCAGTAGGTACAAAAAGTGCATGTTCTTTTAAGAACTGACCACTCCTTAGCCACTGCCTGATCCCCCCCGAATCACCTAGTTAGCATATTTGGCACATCTTTTATTATATTTTATGCTATATAAACTTTAACCATACCCTTCTAACATTGCATGTTCCCTAAGAATTGCCCCCTGAAAAGCGTAATAATAAACTTTTTGCCAACGTGACTTAAAGAATGCTTGAGTCTGTGAATTCATTCCAGACAACCCCTTCCTGTATTCCAGTCTTTGTGGGGTCTCAACCTCTCAGACCCTAACACTACCAGTATCACTTTCTCTGAGTAGCTTATGCCATTTCTCTCAGATGGTGGATTATTGATTATTAATGGATTATTATGATCCATCAGGCAACTCAAAATATAATCCCATGTGCTTCTTTACCTCAAACAGCAAGTTTCACTAATCATAGCTTAGGAAAGGCTTTTCCAGGATTTATATCTCAAATTTTAATTCGTCCTGGTATAAAAAGCCAATCATTAGAGATTTCTATATACTTGCAAATTCTCAGCAAATTAAAAGCCAAATAAGCTTTTTGGCAAGTTTACACATTAAAACAGTAACCAACATTAGCCAAATTATTTTAGAGGTAACCAAATTATGAGATAAGTGATACAAAAAGTTCACCAATTTGAAACTTGAAACAAACCCATTACCAATCAGGTGACTTCAGTTTTGTTAAATGCATTTCCAAATTACACAAAGAATCAACATCTAATCGTTAACAGTTAAAACTACAACTTTAAGAAGAGAGTGCTTACCCAAGTTTGGAGGCTAGATTCTTGACCTTGAGCAGGATGTGCTAAACCTGGGTGATACTTCCAGGCAAAAGTTGCCCTAGGGACCAAGGCCATTGCCAGTGTGGCCCATGCTGTAGCTGCTGCCCCTCTCCCCTCCTTCCTTTCCCCAGGTGAGGGAGGCAAAATCAAATATAAGGAGTAAACAGTGAAACTCTCTTCTTCTGTGAGAGAGGTTAACAAATACCCTCTTGCCTCAAGGGAAGGGAGTGGGAGAAAAGAGTGACCAGGGATGTAAGGAGGAGTTTCAAAACTTCTTAATGACTGATCAATCTCCAGAACCTGTTAAGATGTTATAACTGTTATAACTTTTCCCTGTAACCTCCATGAAGGAGGATTCATTGGCGTTGAAGGAAGGGAGTAGGTAAGCCTCAGGGAACCAACAAGCAACTACAGTTTACCCCAACTCCCTAGCGCTGAGAGAATTGACAGAACTGGGCATACACTTCTGGATAGGGTGGCTGTCTTTGTCCTCTATGCTGCAGAAGGTGTATCCAGGAGCATGGCCTAGAACTGACTTAGTGGACTGAGAGCCTGAAAGTGTCAGGCTGAGTGTGAGGTAACCTAGTAACTGTCTGCCCAAAAAAGCACCTCCAAGACTTGGTGATTGGAGAGCTACCCTAATTGCAGAGCAAGAAAGGAGGGAGCAGGGAGGCTTACATACCTTCCAGTCTTGGCTGGAGAAGAACTTGGGGTTAAGCAGTTACTCCATCTATGCCTCCAAAATGTTGAGGTTTAAAGGCTTAGGGGTGCTGGCACCCCAAAATCAGAATACACAAGTCTTGCCTGAAAGAATTTGACCCAAGCCTTCTTCCAGCCAAAGACAAGGTTTGTTAGAACATCTGTCATATTGGCCAGACTCTTAAGGAGTCTGAACATTAGGGAGCTATTGGCTGGATTTTAAGAATCTGAGCCTGCCATAATATTTTTGAGAGAAGATAAAGAGAAACATTCATCTTTCATTACAACAAAGCTTTAATCCATATTGCAATCCTATCGAACTGATATCAGTAACAGAGAAGTGGACCTGAGTTCAATCTGAGAAAGAGACAATGCCCTAAAACCCAAATGATTAACTGTGGGAAAAGAGTGCTTAGCTAAATAATGAGTTCATTATCATTGGAAGCATGGTAGACACAGTTCTTTGCTCATCTCAAGACCATACAATTTAGAATCAGAAAGGACATTATTTAGATCTAGCTGACAGAATGTTAGATGAATATTTTATATATTCATTTTACAGATGAAGAAATTGACACCTAGAAAGGTTAAGTGACTTGTCTAGTCATATAAACAATATCAGACTTGGGATTTGAACCTAGCTGCTGTTCCAAATCCAGTGTGCATGTGTACATATGTGTGTGTGTTTTCCTAGGATGTCAATCCCTCTCCATCTGGGATACATAAAATGGATTCCTTAATTGGGTAGTAGGGTTATACTCTAAGGACTTTTGCAATTCTAATATTCCATGATTCTGAAAGGAAGTGTTCTCTTACATATATCCTTGCATTGCTTACTTCACAGAGGTTGTGGTGAGAAAGGTGATTTGTAAACCTTAAAACAATACATAAATGTGAGCAAAATGGGTGTAATAAATTATCTTTATTGCAAGAATCAATGAGATAACCCATAAAAGCACTTTGTTAATCTTAAGGTACAATATAAAAACAGCAGATACCATAGATAATATAATTTTAAATTTGGATGGGACCTTGGATATTACCTAGCCCAGTTCACCCATCCATTTTAGAGGTGAAAACTGAGACGCATAGAGGTGAAATGACTTGTTCTTTGTCACATGAATAAATACTGGCAGATCTGAGACCATGCAAATGGATTACTATATCAGATTGCCTGCCATCCTGGGGAGGGAAGAGAAGAGAAAGGGGCAGGATATTTAAAACTCAAAAGCATATGAAAGTGAATGCTGAAAATTAAAAATAAATAAATTAATAAAAAAAGAATTACCTGAAGAGCAGCTTTCTTTTATTGTTTTGTTTTGGGTTTTTTTGCATTTATATTGTGAACATCATGTAAGTTAAGCCAGTTTTAGGGACCTACAAGAAATGAATAGCTCAGTTTTCCATCAGACTTTGTCTCACATATCAGTTAAAAGTTCATAATCAGAGTGAGGTGACAAAGTTTTCAAACTTAGGGAATGGAAACTTAGAGGATGTTGACAGCACCATCCCATGGTCTGCTTCTCCTGCTCTTCATTTTAACTCTTCCCCATCAAAGACCACACTTACTAATGGTGAAAAGTACATTTCCATCCTTCTATATCCACACAATAATCCCTGGTGCCTCTTCCCTCACTTTCTTACCTCTACAGAAGTAAGGTTCAGTATCCCCTGTGGCATACTTCCTATCCTTTAGTGTCTACACACATTTTCACATCTGCCCAATTCTTATTCCACATGCACAAATTCCTAGCCAGTACTCTAATAAAATATCTCAAGAATGTGCTAAGACACAAGCAATTCATTTTAGAATTCTTTGATGGGAGTGTACCATTCAATTATTTGGTGGTGTTGCTTAAAAAGGGAATCTTTGATCTTTGATAGAAAGTATATGGCAATATTTATAGGCTATTGGAGAAATTTAGAAGACTGACTCATATTCTGCTCACTCATAGGACCAACCTACTTCTGCACAGAGCTGAGCTGCAGGCAGTAAGACTGAGAAATGAGGCCATTATATTTTAGTTTTTCTTTTTCTTTTTTTAAAGCTCTGACTAAATCTTCTGCATCACTTGGATAAGCACCTGATTGAGACCCCAGGGTTCGCTGCCATGAAGAGAAAAGGCAATTTTAAGGGTAGATGCTACTAATTGTCTCCCTGGAACAGTAAAGCCCTTCTTCATTTCCCCTTCAGAATGACCCAAAATTGATGTTCATTATTTGCCCTGATGGTTAAGTCTCAAGCCTCCCATTTAGATGGTTAGTGTTAAATTTTTGAAAGGATAACAGAAAAAAAAGGCTGGTTCCAAAAGGTTTGGATTTTAATAATTCTACCTGACTTCTATTGTAGTCTCAAGGGATCTGCCATGTTTTGTTTTGTTTTGTTAAGCCTAGCACCAATCTTTCTGAGGCCAAGAGAGAGAATGTTTAGTTCTTTGATTGCTCATGTATAAAACAAATAATAATTCAATTGCATTTATTTTTTTAAATTATTTGAGAGACAAGATGGTGGAGTAAGTAAGTCTCTCTCACTCTCCCTTATTGATCTTTAAAAACTGAGAAAATATGGCCAATGGAAAAAACCCTGGAATAGCTGAGCCAGCAGAAAGATGGCTTGCAGCAGTCTTTTAACCCAGAAAGCTTGGGGGATTAAAGGTCCCTCTTGCTCTAGTGAAACTGTAGCAGTATAGAACATGAGGGTTTTTTGCATTTATGACATCCACCGGCAAGCACCAATACCTGGATCCCTCGAGTGCCTTGGCACAGGCAGGGGAACCATAAACTCCAGCCACCAAATCATGCTTCAGAACAACTCCAAGAAGCACAACTCCAAGTGGGCAGCTGTCCTCCGTCAGCCAAACACTCCAGTGCTTCAGCACAACTCAAGGAAACACAACTTCAGGTAGGCAGGCATACTCCAGCAGCCAAAACTTCTGCTAATCACCTCCTGAAAGTGATCCCAAAATTAATGATTGGATTTGAGGTGAGTCTTGAAGTAAGTCAGGCAAGCCAAGAAACAGAGTGATGGGACAGAGCATTCTGGGCATGGAGGACAGAGAATAGGAGTATCAAATCTGAGGAACATCAAGTGGGGTGGCACAGCTGAATTGTGGGGTGCATGGAGCAGACTAAAGTATAAGACGACTGTAAAGGAAGGAAGGGGGCAGGATAGGAATAGCTTTAAATGGCAGATCCTAGATAAGGAGGGTGGGTAATATTGTCAGACCTAGCTTTAGGAAATAAAATACTTTGCTAGCTGAAAAAATAATAGGTTAGACTAGTTAGAAAGCTATTGCAGTGGTCTACAACTTAGACTCTACATGATGGCTGATGAGAGCGTCAACTAGGATTGTGGCTGTGTGACTAGAGAGGAAAGGATCATATAAGTGCGATGCTGTAAAGGTAGAAATTGTAAGATTTAGCAATGGGTGGGATATGTGGGCTAAGTCAAAGTGAGGAGTCGAGGATAACACTGAGGGTGCAAGCTTGGGTGCCTAGAAAGATGGTGGTGCCCTTGACAGTAATAGGGAAGTTCAAAAACGAGAAGAGTTGGTAGAACAAAATCAAACAGCAACAAAACACTAAGTAAGCAAAACAGACAATGTTGGTATAACACTTAAAATGAAACGACATAGTGGTGTGTACGGTCATCGAAAGCACTTTTTAATGTTGTTTTTATTAATTGCTTATGGGGTTATTTTTTAGTTGGTTTGCTTTTTATATGACTGTTTTTCCTTGACAGTTGCTGAGCTACTATTTTCTTCATTTATCATTTTGCTTGTATAGTCTTTCTTTGGTTTCTATTTATTTGAGCATTTCTACCTGTCAAAAAAGAACATTTATAGTTCTGAAAAATGTCATATCAATTTCATACAGCTGCATGAACATTAGCAAGAGGGAGATGTGCATTATGATGCACCAGTTAGATTCAACTGAAGGAACACATTAAATGCCTTTTGTATGTATGCCCTGAGCAAAGCTAACTTTGCCAAGAAGCTGAATTAAGATGAAAAGAAATACATTCTTGCTCTAAATACTAGATGCTCCAGAAATGGACTCTTTGTTGTTAAATGAGATCAACTTGGCCAGCCTACAAGATTATCTTCTAGGAAGGTGAATAAACATAGGGACTGAACCTTACAAATGCACACATCCGTTTTCTAAAAGCCAGGCCTCTTGATTTTAAAATTAGAAATTATGTTAAGGATAGAGTCTATCTTTTGACCATTAGATTTAGAGATGCCTTGGAACTTTGAGAATATTTACTATTACTCTTTTAATTTGCAGATGAGCAATTAAAAGCCTCAGACTCTAACAATAATGTCTAATAATAATAAACATTTACATAGTGTTTTAAGGTTTTCAAAGCACTTTATAATATTAAATACTATCTCATTTGATCCTTACAACTACCTTGTGAAGTAATTACTTTTTATTATTCCCACTTTACAGATGAATAAACACATTTCATGGAAGGATTTTTAGTCAATAGTAAACACGAAATTTCTTTCTGAATCAGAGTTAGAGTAAAAAAAAAGTTCCTTTGCTTTTTGGAGCTCAGTGCTCCATGTTTCTCTAGTATGTTACTAGCAGTAGCCCCCACCCTTAATTGACTTGAGCCAAGCTGTGGCTTAGCAGTCTTGTATTGAGAAAGACATGAAGGTTCTATAGAATCATCGAATCTTGATAAGAAGGACCTCTGTCGTCCCCCCCCCAAAAAAAATGGAAGAATGTTGGAGGCCAGCACCTGGTAGTGGGCCCCTAACCCCGTGAGAACACCACACCCCAAGCAGCTTGTTCCGGGACAAACCGTACCATAACGTGTTCCTGTCAGGGCTGACCGCAAGATGTTGCCACACCGCCCCTGGAAAGTCCCGGAGGCCTATTTTCCTCTTTTGCCCCTCCCCGCTTTGCCCTATATAAGCTTGTAATGCTCAAAAATAAAATTAGACCTTGCCTACCATCCTTTTGGTCTCACTCCTCCTTTTCACCCATTCCCTTCAGCCAGGGTCCTCCTCGACCCCCCACGTATACTGGCCCTGCAGGTCGGGGCAGAAGAATACATGGAAATTCTATCAAAACCAAAACAAAACTCTAAGTTAAAGATATGAAGAAAAGTCATGAATAAAAGTATTTGGAATTATGCAGGAAATGTGACTAAACTATCTATATCCTTTGAATTAATGGTGTCACAACTGAGTTTATATCACAAAGAAGTCAAAGGCAGAAATAAATGCCCAAGATGTACCAAAACAAACAAAGGACAATTTGTGGTAGCAAAAAAGTGGAAAGAAAGTGAGAAATTAACTGGGTTAATTGATTGGAAAAATGTCTAGAAGATATAAATTTAATGGGATATTTTTGTGCTATATGAAATTATCAATATGAGGTATTCAGACGAATGGGGGAGGGGGTATGAACTGATGTAGAGAAGCATTAGCATAACCAAAAGAACAATGTACGTGGTAACTGCAAAAAAGTTCACTGAAAAGAAGTCAGACTAAGTAATGGAAAAACAAATGAAGATTCTGTAGTACAAAGTTGCTAGTCTCATAAATATATTTGAACATGGTCTTCTAGCTACAGGATGCCTGGGCCTCATCTCTGAAATTCTTATGGTAGTACTTCTTCCTTATGGGAGAGAAGTAGAGTAGTATACATTTTTCAAAATGCATATATTTCCAAAATCAGTCACTGTATTGAATGTTTTTGCTCAATTGGTATGCTTGATGACAAGTGAGGATTCAATAGGGAATACTCTTAAATATTAAAATGCATCAACAAAATATGTATTAAAATTTAATTTCTGAAGCAAACAATGCCATGAGCAACTTCTTCAAATACTTTGTTGAATTCTCAGCATCCTATACAATTAAAATAGCTTTTTTTTAAAATTAATAAGATGGAAGGTACTTTGGAGATCATCATCTCATTTAATAAGCAAGGAAGCAGAGGCCAATAAAGATGAAGTAATTTGTTGAAGTTACATAAATAATGAGCAGAAGTGAGATTGGAAACTGTCCTCTGACCCCTAAATCCAGCACTCAGTCAATTGTACTTCAGTGCCTGTCAATTATTTGAATTTTATTTTCTACTCTATGTGTTGATGATTTTTGTCTCTCATTTCTCAAAGCAAATTTGAAGCAGATTTGCAATTGGAATGAGCAGTTAAAAAATTGGGGGCCATCTATGCTAAAACAAAAATATATATCATCTTTATATATGTTTTAGACAGTGTTTTGCCATGTTACTTTTTCAGAATACAGAATGATAAAGAAAATTTGAGCTACAACAGACATTAGAAATAATCTAGTCCAACTCCTCTTATTTTATGATGTAACCTAAAAGGAGAGGAATGACATACAAAGGGACAAGACATAGACGTCAGTCCTACCAAAGGTCAAGCTTGACACCTACTAGCTATGTGACCCTGGGCAAGTCACTTAACCTCAACTGCCTCACCAAAAAAAAAAAAAAATCACTCTCTGAAGGACATGACTGATTGATGAGACTGCCCTTAGCCCTCAGGGAACATACTCTTCAATCCTAGGTCTTGGATGAGACTTCACCCAACTCTGGATAATAAACCTCTTCTCTGACAGGCCTGCTTTTGGGAAAGTACTTTGTTAACCACAGAGCCTTTTATAAATATAAGCCATTATTCTTAGCCCTTCCTTTTTGTCTACTTCATCACACTCTTCTGTGGGATAAATTACTTAAGAGGTATGACAGTATATTCTTTGTACACACATAAGGGAGCTGACAGAACAAAGAAGTAGCAGTGTTGGGGAGAAGTATTACACAGTACAGTGTAGATAATTGAAAGTTACAATTCCTTGCAGTGAATAAGTCATTGTGTCTGCAACACCTTGAAGAAGGCTCTGTTTGGTCAGAATATCGTTCAGGGACCTATAGGACACACCTGAAAGGATTGTATATTTTAGCACTCAACCTCCATTTTTCCAGGCTTCTACCCAGTTATGAAATTGCTTGTTGGCTGCAGACATATATCCCTCTTCTGCTTGCGTCTGGGTGAATTATTTATTGTAACTCTGGTCCAATCAATGTGTCATTTTCATAGTCTACATCTTTCTTGCCACAGTGCAATTTCATCCATCTTTTATTCCTACATTCCATATGGCATTTATTAAAGAACTATGGATGACCATCAAGCAAAAGTTGGGGAATGGAGAAAGTGTCAAATGGCAATTCCAATAACTCTACAGATGCTGAAGAAAAATGAAGAGTAAAAGTTCATTTTTATCCTAAAACATACGGAGAATGTCCCCTAACCTCCAGTAAAATCCGGCTGTAAAATCTAGGTGAGAAAAGTTTGTTTGTTTGTTTCAGTTGTACATACGAAACAGTTCCAATCCTACAAGTGTTAGTTGCTAGTCTCATACATATATTTGAACATGGTCTTCTAGCTACAGGATTTCTGGGCCTCATTTCTGAAATTCTTAGGGTAGTACTGGGGACACTGTTTTCTCATTGAGTTGCTTAGGATTGTCTTCTGCCAGACCAACAACTGTTCCCCACATGCAGAAATGCTAGCAGTGATGGAACATTCTCTATGACTGACACTCACTCAAAATTTAAGGGATGCAAGGTGAATACAAATGCTACATATCAAATGGATGTTTGCATGACTATCTTTGAGCACATCAAATTGGAAAGGCGCATCTTGTATAAGCTCAAATATATTCAGACACTCAGTTTCTGGCTTCATTCAAGAGTCAGTTCAAATCTTACCTTTGGCAAGGGGTACTTTCTCGTCCACCTAGCTGATAGTGCCTTCCCCCGAAAGATTACTTTCTATCTCCTCTGTTTCATGGTTTTACTCCAACACAACTTTTGCTACATATTAAGTAGTAATTTATACTACTTAATATAAAATGTCATACTAGAATATATGTGTATATATATGTATGTTATATACA